TTCTCCTATGTTCCATTTACTTGAAATTCAAAGTCATTTTCATGGACAAAACTTTGAAATTGAGAGTTTGACTTTAGCTCTTGACAACTCAGTTACTGCTCTTCCCTCTCATATTCTTTCTCTTCCTAGGGATCAGAGTCCTCGTGCCCATAAATCAGAAATCCATAGGACTTTGTCATTATAGAGTTCCATGCTCCAAATGAGGGCCCATTCGGTCAGTTTCCTTCAGCAAACCCTCTGATAATCCATCTCAGTATAGGTGCTGAAATTAGGAAATCTGATTTAATCAACTCACCAATGTATGAGTGACAGAAAACATTGCCTACTATTCTCTTTTCAAGCATTTTCACACTGAAATTGGCATGCTTATCAATTCAAGTAAATTTGACCTTGTAAGATTTTAGGCTGGATAAGGGAGCAAGGCAACCTAGGTAGTGAAAGAATAAAATTTTAGTACAGAAGAGACAAATCTAGAAGATTCAACCAGCCATGAGGCCCAGCAGGGGTATATATTTTCCCCAGGGAGGATTCAAGTATTCAACTCCCAAATGACTGGCATTTGGTAATTTCATAAAAGTTTGTTGAATGAAAATAATAAGACAAACTTTTACTTTTTTATAGGAAAAAAATGATGTTCAGAGATGTCAAGTCTCCAAGGTCACATAGAAAAGAAGTGACAAATGAGATGGAAATTCAGCTCCAACTCTAAACATCCATTGCTTTTTCTTACCATCATAGCTGCTGCAAAGACATTTATTTCTGCCTCGTTTGAGGCCTATGAGTATTTTGCCTTGTGGGCTGGTTAGTAAGCGAGATTTCACTTGCTCCTGGTCACATCTGGAAGACCCACAAAGCTTTGATGCTCTCAGGGTAAGATAATATCTGATGAGGACCTGACTCTTCAGAACAATGGAGTAACAGTAGAGGTTGAAGTCCCTCTTTAGGGGAAAACTCAAGTTCCCTATTAACTTCTATTCCATTCTTACAAGAATGCTTTGTTCTTTGATTAGCCCATAGCACCCACCATTGCTGTTCCTTGAGTCACGTACCATCCCCTCTGAGTGCTTATGTGTACTCAATAAATAGTAGCAAGCTTGGGGAGTCTTTGTCTTTTGGTGACCTGAGGCACTGACTTCCCAGGCCCTCATTTATCTGCAAAATTATATTTGTCTTTTATCCTTAGCTGTACCCCTCAAGCAGGCAGCTGTGGGGCTTGGTCGGCCCAAGGCACTTGCCCACTATAAAGGCCCTGCTCCTGCCATGGACGTGCTAAGAGGTAGGGTAAAAGGAGTTTTGTTGTTGCAAAAGGAAGCCTCTTGTGCTGGACTAGCTAAGGGAGAGGATATGAGAGAAGGTGCTTATTTCCAAATTCATGTGGAAACTATCAGGACAGACTAGTTGCAGAGGAGACAAAAACATATACACAGCCCTGATTTTCCATTCAATCAGTTTTTCATAGGGAGAGCATCATAAGCAATAGCTATTTAAAAAATATAAATGTCTTTTGTTTTTACAGATTAACTGTATGGTAACATTGATTCTATGAGGAAGAAAATCCAAAATCCACATCACTGATTTTTTCAGAGGGCAAGTCTGTGAGCAAAATGAGGACCCGAGTTTCTTAAGCTTCTCTCCTCCTTCCCCTCCCCAGTCCTGCTCCCACACTTAAAGTGATGTCCAATTGCCATATACCCTGTCTTGACTTCAAGATTCTTGGTCACTAAATTAGTGTTCTACATTGATTAAAGGTTTTAAGCAGGTGTTTTGAAAGTTACATGGCTGGGAAACCTTTCACTGTGTTTTTTTCAGGAGAACTTTGTAGAGAAGATTCCATTATAATGTCATTAGAGGCCGTAGAGAACCGAGTTTTAGGTGTTTCTTCATTCCTTAAAAACATGAGCTCAATCAGCCACTGATTTAAGAAAACACAAGGAAAAGCAGATAGAAATATGCTTTCTTAGCTCCAAACTCTTTCTGTTTGCAGTAAAGTGAAGAAATAATGAATTTTAGACCTTTGGTTTTCTCCTATTCCTAGTGTGGGGATCTCAGTCTTGAAAGTTGAGTAGGCACTAGAAGTATGGAGTACATGTCCTTAATCTGTTGAGAAGTTTCTGTTCTACTTCTAGGCTCCTGATAGCTTTTACCATGAACAGCTGCAGAATTTAGTCCAATACTTTTTCTCCAACCACTGACAGGATCATATGGCTTTTTCCTTTCCTCTGTTAAAATGATGACTTTTAGGGGTGGATCTTCCAATGCTGAACCAACACTGCCATCCCTATAACAAAACCACTTTCTACATCCTGCCAGATCTGACTTCCAATAGTTTGTTTTGTTAAACAAATTTCTATCTATGTTCATACGTTTTTCTTGTATTATCTTTATCCAGTTTTAGGATTAGCACAATGTTGAGTTCCTAAAATGAGGGGAGAAGTGTTCCTTCTTTTTTTTGCTTTAATTGTTTGATATAATTTATCAGTTAAAATGTTTATGAGCCTGCTATTGTCATATAGGTAGGGTTTGCAAGCTAGGAATATACTTTCTTTAATAGGTGCTATTCAAATTTTATATTTCCTCCAGAGTTAATTTCATTAATTTGTCTTCCAAGGTACTTCTTAGAAGTTGTCAAATTTATTTCAAAAAAGATTTTTGTAATATGCTTTCTATATCCTTTTAAACTCTGTAAAATCTGTGGTAATGTCTCCTAGATCTTAATATTGTAATTTAAAAAATGTATAACTGATATTGTGTAACAGGAAGAAAAGGTCTAAAAGACCAGGGGAATTGGGAGGAGTAGGGGAAGGGAAATAAGGGAAGGGGAAAAATATGAAAAGAAGAAAAAAAAATGTAAACAAGGTCTTTGCAAATAGGGAAGGGTGGAGGGGGTGAAGGGAGGGCAAGGGAAGGGGAAAAAAATAAGAACCAAGAAACTCATGTAAAGGTACAAGCTCCCAATGATGAATGTAACTGTATTTTATACCAAAAATGTACCAATAAACTTAATGGGAAAAAAAAAGAAAGTTGAGTAGGACTCAGGCCAAGAAAGGATAAACAAACAAGAAGACAAAACAATGTAAGATTTGTCTGTAGAATCCATCTAATAGTCCCTTCATCCCCATTACCCCAGTAGAAGTGATCATGCCTTTATCTTCTCTCTCTTGTAGCTGGTTCACACTTCAGTCCTGGTTCTTCTAACAGATGTTTAACTCAGCATCCTTGGCAGGACTGTGAGCCCCTTGAGAGCAGAAATATTTCTGTCTGTTAGATATAAAAGTATGAATATGGGAGAAGAAGTTGGGACAGGAAAGATAGATTTAGAGGATAAAATTATCCTAGGAGGCCACAAAGACCAGAAGAGTAGCACCTGATGAAAGGACTATTCAAGGAAGGGGCAGAAAAGTAGAATCAGAGGAAATCAACGCAGAGAGGTTATGTAACAGAGGTCAGGGAAGGCAAGAATTCACCAGTACTGAAGTCATTGGTGCGGTTTGCCAGGAGTCTCAGTGGAGAGAGGGCAAGCCACATTGCAAGCGGTGGGAGAGATGGCAGATAAGTGGAGAGAGGGAGTGTAAACCCCTCAAGCAGCTTGGGCAAGAGAGATGATCCCTAGAAGGACACATACATTTTTTAAGAAAACTTTTCCACAGATGAGAGAGGACTGACTAGCATTTTAGACTGAAAGAAGGAGTGGATAGAAAAGCACCAGCTGAAGATTTTGTGGAGAGCAATGATGAAGACAAATCCAGACCTGGAAGAAGAGCAGAGGGGATCAAAGACCCTGTAGTGACCAGGAATCTGCAACTAGGTAGTGAACTGTAGGGATGCTGGTTAGAGACAGGGGCATAAGGGTGTCATGGTTTTCCAAGGGAGAAAGAGGGCCAAAGGAGAAGGTAAGGCTTCCAAGAGTTGCAAAGAAGTTCTGACACAACTAGTAAAGACTGTTGGACACCGCTGAAGCAGCACTGGGACTGGGGGTCATGGACCAGTGTGGTGTGGGTGGGACCAAATCATCCTGCACATTTAAGAGGTCAAAGGCCACATGATTTCACAAAGGAGCTTCACGTTTCATTACTCCCTTCTTTATCCACCAGAAATGCGTTCTCACAATTTCATTTTACCTGCTAATGGTGTTCTTCCTTCATCCCTTTCTTCTCTTTTTTCTCGTCTACAATCCAAAATGCATGAATTTTCCATTTCTTCATTACTTTCTGTTAATTGGGTCATTAAGTAAAAAGAAAACCATCTCAAGTGAATCTCTTCTTTCACAACCAGCCTAAGGTGGAGTGGCTTAGCAAGTATCCATAAGTACTTTGTTTATTTGCAGAGGTCTGATTTGACTTTAAAATTGTTGTACAAATCTTCAAATTTGGTGTTATTGAGTGTTTACTCAGTCAGGAATGAATATTAGGAGAAGTTGAGCGTCTTTGGAAATGCAAACATTCTGCCTTTGAAGTAGTTAAAAAATTGTTTATTGTAGTCATAAATAGTTGGAGTGACTTTCCATTTTAGAATTCTACTCATTGTCAATAGCTGCATTATGAAAAATTGGATTCATTGCATCATTGTGAAGGACCTCAGACTGCGGTTTGCAAGAGCAGAATAAATTTTCTTGAGGTTGTACCGTTATGTACACACACACACACACACACACACACACACACACACACACAGGCACACACACACAGGCACGCATTGGCAGACAGGGCCACACCTCGCAGGTCTGGGGAAAGCCACAGACCTCAGCTGTACAAGCTCAGCCTGCGCTAGAGGAACTTTCCGCAGGGCTCCAGACAGCCTCACGGCCACTACTGACCGCGAACCCCAGCCTCAGAGGAGCACAGGCAGCGGCAGGTACGCGGTGCGCGCGGCGCGAGGCCCGGGGCGGTGCGGCGGTGGCGTGAGGGTCCTGGGCGCTGCAGGTCTCGGTGCCAGCACGCGAGCGCGCGCGCGCGCGGCCGGCGGGCTCAGCCGCATCCCTGGGTAGCCTCCTCGCTCTCCCGGAGCCGCCGCAGCCCTCCCCGCCGGCCTCGGGGCCCCCTGGGCGCCGGGCTCGGCGCTGGCTGCAGAACCTCCCCGCCGCGCGCCCCAGCCGGAACATGGCTGCGCGCCCCGCCGCCACCCTCGCCTGCTCGCTGCTGCTTCTGTCCTCGGCCCTGCTCCGCGGCGGCTGCCGGGCGCACTTGACCGCTGAGCCGGACTCAGAGCACGAGGAGGCGGTTTTGCCAGAGTCGCCCCTGCAGAGACCCACGGTGCTGGTGGCCATCCTCGCCCGCAACGCTGCGCACACGCTGCCTCACTTCCTCGGCTGCCTGGAGCGGCTGGACTACCCCAAGAGCAGGACGGCCATCTGGTGAGCGACGGGGCCGCTGCCGGGTGCGGTACCGCGGAGGGCACCGGGGGGGGGGCGCACACCCCTCGCCGCCCGCGCTGGTTCTGGGGAAGGACGCGCCGGTCTGCGTGCGCGCCGGGTGCAGACGAGAGAAGCCGGGCTAGTAGGGGTGTACGGATTGGGTGGCCTTGTCCCTTCTCATTCCGCCATCCCTCACTAGGGGCTTGGGAAGACTTGGGATTTCCTCCCTTTTAACTCTCGAGGTTTTCCCCAAAGCCCTGGAGTTCAGGGTAGGGTCCCTGTGGCGGTCTGCTTCTGCGGAACACAACTTCGGCAGGCGAGGGTCCGCAGAGCGTGGGCTGGCGTTCAGTGCCCTGAGCTGACGGCGGGGCCGGGACCCTGGGCCGGCCTCCGAGGCTGGGAAAGTGGCTCAGGTTCTCCTGGGAACAGAAGGAGGAGCTAGACCCAGAGATGGAGCCCCGCGGAGCTGCCCGACCACACTCCCGCCGCGGGCCCGTCTCCGGGCGCCCCAGGCTGTGCCCCTCGGTGCGTCCTCCAGGGGCGCCTTCTCTACGTCAGACGCGAACCGCGCGGAGCGCCTGGGCTACTGTGTCCCGGGCGCCGCGGAGCCGCCTCGGGAAGCTTAAACAGCCAAGTTTTGTCCCAGAGGAGAGACTTCTGGGTCTAGTTCCAGTGTTTGCTGCGTGGAGGCTCGGGAGATCGGTGAGAGTAGCTGCCTGCTCCACCTGTAGAACTCAGTCAAATCTCGCACCTTTTGTAAACCCAAATACCAGAAGACGACAGTTTAAGGATATGTCCTTAAAGCAGCGGTGGGGACAGAGCCAGGAAGGAGCAAGGATAAAGGCAGTAGCTGGAATTGGCTGCCTGATGGTACCTGGTCAGAGTGGTGCAGAGGTGCAAAAGCAAACAAGTGATATAGTACAGCTCTGTGCCTTACACTGCTTCACTCCGAGCCACCGATACGTGACTGCCTCCACGGAGAAGGGCGTGCTGTGTGGAAAGCGGGCCCACTGGGGCAACCGGGTTTTAAACCAGAAAAGTGATTTTTTAACCACTTCCATGCAAAGAAAATTTCAAAAATGCCAGTTCTTAAAGTGCCATTTTTTTTTTTGAAAGAGAAGTTTTACACTATGGCCTCGGTTTTTATGCACTAGTTTTTCAAAACTTTACAGTATTTGCTATAAAAGGTTAGTAAGTGGGGAGGTGGTCACCAGGCATATGTTTTTGCCACCCAATTTACAGATATTAGCTCTTTTATTACACAGTAAACTTTTAAGAGAAAGACTGTGATCTTTATTTTACAAAGAAAGGAACTGGGATTTGGATCAGTTTGAAAACTCAACTTCAGGTCACAGAATCAATAAATGGTAAGACTGGGGTCGGGGATTTAGCTCTGTGACGATGCACCTGCCTCCCAAACGCAAGGTCCTGAGTTCGATCCCCTGTATCAAAAAACAAACAAACAAACAAAAAAGGCAAGACTGGAACCTGATCCCAACTTTGTCCCTAACAGACTCCTAAAAATGTAGAAGCAGCAGGTACATGATATAAGTGAAATTTATACAAACCTGTAAGTTACAAATTAGGAGAATTGAACTGTTTGTCAATAAATAGTTCAATATGTAATTTGGATCAGATTGTGTGACATATGTAGATATCAATTTTCTTCATCAGTAAAATGGGGCAACTGGAATATAGGAGAGTTAAAAATTCTTTCCAGTTCTTGAATTCCAGAGATTTTTGTGATATGATTAGAATCAACCGGCAATGAATGTACATCCTAAATTGCGCGATAGTCCAGGTAATGTGTACATTGGTGTTGTATTTAGGTGGGCAGCATTCCAATTCTGCATAGACCTTTGAGGTTTATTTTCCTTTACCTTCATTCATGGTCCTTGTCACCTGTACTTCATCCTTTATGACCAACCCAATGCTTGGGATAAGGCTGTGGGCAACTCCTGCATTAGTCACTAAAGATTCTTCTTTGAAAACTCTTGATTCTGTATTAGAAACTCTGTATAATTTATTAGGTAATAACAGAAAATGCCAGTTTTCAAATTGTGCCCTCCAGCTCTTAAAGTACTTTATTCAATCTCTTTAAAAGTTGAACAAAGTAGGGCTCCTGATTGACAAACTTGGCTCTTTTTCCTAGACAGTGTAATGTGATCTGAATGGCATTTAAAAGGTTTAGGAGACAACCAAAGGATTTCTAAATCACAACTGGAGCATATGTGGGGTCATGCTAGGTGTCTGGAGGAACTGATACTTAGTTTGAACTGAATTTTAAAGGACGAGTAGAAATCAACGAAAACCTGGAAAGGAACGAGGCCAAATGTGATGATGGGGGCATGAACCAGAGTTTCCACTCTGGGAAAATAAAGTTGGTGACAGAGCTAATGAGGGTCTCCAAAGTTCTTGTATTTTACCACAATAGTCTCCCTGGAAATGGTGACTTCTAGACTGGTGCTAGAAGAGTATTTGGCTGGGAAGGCTATTAGGATGTCACCTTCCAGTTTAGGAGGTTATAGTTAGTTGAAAGGTCTTTGCGAGTTGCTTAGCCCTACTTTCTTTAACCCAAGATCTATTCGGTATTCAAAGCCCAAACTGGCTATTGACTCTGCAAAGCCAGAACACACCAATGTCAAAAAATGCCTGTGAGGGGCCAGGGATATAGCTCAGTGGTGCTGCTGCCTGTCTCACAAGCACAAGGTCCTGAGTTCAATCCCTGATACCAAAAAAAAAAAAAAAAAAAATTTAAATTTAAACAAAAAATGCCCTTGAGCTACTGAGAACTTTACAAACAGGCATCATTAAGAATAGAATCTGGGTTCCAGCTTCCCCCGAATCTTACCTCAATCACTCACTCTGCCCAGACTCTTTCTCTTGTTCATTCAGTTATCCTCTACCAATGGCTGGAGGATCGCCCAGTACTAAGACTTCTTTCCTAGACCTTGACTTTTTTTCCTTAGCTCAGAGGATCATTGAGAGACCTGGCTTGCGGATCATATGCCAGCTTTCCTGGGATATGATTTTTTTCTTACCTAAAGTTCTAGGTCAGGTCTGCATCTGTACATACAGGTGGGACAAGTGCCAAAAAGTGATCTAAGATTCCACTGTCAGAATGAGTGCAGTTATCTCACCATCAAGGATTTTTTTTTAGATTAGGTTGAATAAAGGAAAGTTTATATTTAGAGAAAATACATATCAGCAAAAAGAAACACTTTTTACATTTACCGAAAATCCTCTAAGCTGTTTTCTCTAAATATCACAACGCTGTGATAAGAAACAAAGGAAGATGTTCTCTTGTGCACTAACTAAAGAAAGCATGCACTGAATTCATGGGAATCACCACTCTGCTGAAATGAAGGGTGCTATGAGGCATTGTAGCATGCGGCAGTATACTTCAATGGTTCTGTGTCATTCGTGGAGCTATGAACAAGTGGCCTTAACGTTAGAGGGAAGGCTGAGCTCATCCCTCTTTTCAAAGCTATAGGGGAGAAGGACCATGTACAGTGGTAGTGAGAAATGGAGCAGGACACAAGGAAAAACACTTGGCCCTAAAGGAACATTAAGTTTTGTCATGTGGAGAGCCTGCTGTTGCTTGTGGGAAGACAGTTAGATTGACACAGTCTGTGCAGTCATAGGCAATAACTGCTATGTAGTTACAGAATGATTTGGGCTTTTCTTTTGAGTTTTTGAAAAGTATTATGCTGCATTGGGAGCCATTTATGGCTTTTTAAAGCACGCGATGATATTCTGTTGACATAAACATAAAAACTGATGCATTTCTGTTAGGGGGTGCTCGTTCCGACATTTTGCACATACTTTAGCCTTCATTTGGGGGAAATTATCTTGACTATATCTCCACATTTTATTGACCAACCAGTAGCATTTTGGTTTAACCAGGTTTATAAAATGCTCCAAACTACTAGTAATGATAGTTTTAGCACCAGAGGTGAAAATGATGTCCCATGTTATCACAGTCTTGTTATTGAATGCTGCATATTATCCGAATGGATAGAAGTTTCAGCTTGTGGCTGAAAAAGTACTGATTCTTTAGTCCCCTTCTCACTTTCATTTTACTTTCCTCATCTTTCCCCTCCTTTATTTTTCTGCCCCCTGGAGAAAGGGGCAGGTAAGCTTAAAGTCAGATAGATGTAGACGCAAATCATCTGTATGATTATGAGCACATCAGTGAACATTAAAGATCCGCTTCCTCATCTGAACGTGACTAATAACTATCTCAGATTGGAACAAATTAATGAGATCATGTCTGTTACATAAATGCTACTAAATAAGTGATTTACTATTTTTTATCTTCTTTTTTTGTTTCATCTTCTTTCCCTTTCTCTTTTGAAATGAAGTTTTTAAAAAACACACTAAACTCTACTAATATGTACAACTAGTACATATTAATGAAATGAAATACAACATAAAAGTCATTGACAAGGAATTCCATTTATTTTCTTCCTTCCAACACAAAAATATCAGCATAGTGAAAACTAACATTTATTGAGGCCCTGTTCCAAGTACTTTGGTTGATAACTGATTGACTCCAAACAGCAGCTCTGGGGGGAAGGTGTCTCCACTTTACTCAGGAGGAAACTGAGGCATGGAGAATATAAATGACTTGGCCTAGGTCAGAAGATTAGTGCTCAGGGAGCTAGGATGTGGACTGAGGCAGCTAATGTCCCAGACTAAGCACTGTTTAGGATCAGGAAAGAGCCAATTAGTTCTAGTTTTTGCTTCTGTCAGTTGACCCATCTTGGGCAGATAAGAGCACCAGTGTATCAAATGAGAACTGTCACTTCTGCTTGAATGATTCCAGGGACTCAGTGATTGCATTCTGCTGTCTTGACCATTTCATCACTTAGCTCAGGCACTTTCTAGTTAATGAATTCTAATTTAGTAGATTTCATAGGAACATAATGAGCCTAAATATGGGGGTTGTCCATAAATATGCAGGCCACTTGCTATGGTCATTGCTACATAGCAACAGA